TTTGTTGGAAAGGGGTGGGTCGGGGATCTTTCTTGGAAGATCTCTGTCCCCCACCCAGGTGATTGATACTAATTTAGAATATCAGGCACTGCTACTCATCCTACATGGGTGTGGTAGTTTTTCTCCTTTTACAATTTGGGCCTTCAGTGAATGTGTCTTGATTGTCCTCCATGTTGGCTCCTCCTGGGCTGGCCCTGTCTAACTGCCTACAAGATATCTAATTAACTTACCTCTCTGCAATATTCCCCCCTCTGAAGAAGTACCCCTAACTGCTGTGAGGGGGCAAAGGGAGAAGACCATTCTAGCTACTTCCTGCTGAAGAGGGTCGTAGTTGTGATCAGCAGTTAGAGTTACTCTCCAGAGAGTCTATCTAAAGGCCCTCGATAGGTGCCAGCCATTGTCATCTTGGTAGCTGTACAGCTTTGAGTCTGGAGGAGACAGAGCCAAAAAAACAGCTAATACATGGACCAAGTTATAAGGTCAGCAGGATTGCTCTGAATATAGCCAACAAGGATTTCCTCTGGGAGGAACTAGTAATAGCCTCCCACAAAGAGGATAAGGAGAAGGTCCAGGGGACTTCAGAATCCAACATAGGAGTCATATTGTATAGTTTAGCCATTATAAGCTGGTTACAGGTTCAACCTGGTGGATCCCGGTAAAAGAAGTCTAGCACATTTGTCTTTGGTTCCATTGGTATGACTGCTTGGACTTTGGCAGCCTCAAGGCAAGAATGAACAAAACTTTTAAGAAATCAGAGCATGTATAATCTAAGCATGAGCACACTAGAATGAGAGGGCAGGTTGGGGAGAAAGTCACACTTAGAAACTGAAATAGTGATTGTAATCTGCTGGCTCTTAGATTCTTTCATTCATAGAGGTTATCTATAAGTCTAATTGAACTCCCAAAGTCTAGTCTGGGTTGTGTATGTTGAATGGTAGAAAAAAAAAGTATACTGACAATCCTAACAGTTTTTGAAAAGGAAATGAACCACTCAGATCTAGGTTTCCTATTTTACACTGAAAAGCTCAAAATAGCTCCATTTGACCCTTGTTAGTGTACTTTTGAGGGAAATGTTTATTGGAAGGAAGTATGGCTATTAGAAAGACATTCGTATTTCTGCTGGCCTTGAGGCTTCCTGCTGGCTAGTGTTCATGTATGTGCCTGTCTGCCCATGAATTCTTTCTAAAAAGATGAAGCAATGTTACTTTAATAATGGTATGACTTGGAATTTTTAAGAAAAAAAACTATCTCCTTCTAAAAATTTACTAGAAATGCTAAACAGTAAAGAAATTGAGTAGCTTGAATGTTAATTTCTGAATTTTCTTCCCTTATTTTGTAATGAATGGAGAAACCTCAGAGAAGTAGTGATTGCAAGGTCAGGAGAAGGACATAGTGGAGGCCTGGATGATCTT